AGTGCAAGACTGGCCCTGTGGAAGCAAATATGGAAAATATTAAGCATTTTAAGCATTACTCTATCAAGTAAAAGAGCAAGTACTGTGTTGTGTATTCTCATGTTTTACTGTCTAAGGGAAAGAATCTGTACACACTCTGAGAGAAAAGGAATAGGTCATAAAAATCACATTTTTAGGTAGAGGAGTTGGGAAGTCTCATGCACCTTTCATTGCTCTGACTTGTCAATTTTCACCATATGGAAATTGTTAGCTTAATACTGTAGTTCTAAATAGTGCCCAGGAATGCTGATTTATAATGGATTTCTTACTCTTTGTGTAAAGAAATGCTAAACTACTATATAAACCATGATTAGAGAATCATGTATTACTTGTATTATAGGTGTGTGCCTGGGGTGAATTCTTCAAGCTTAGAGAGGTGACATCTGGTCTGGTCCACTCGCAGGTAAATCTGGCATCAGCGAACTCAGAATTCCCACAAAATGCTGGAAGTCCAGAGTAACTGGGAACCCAATTTGGCCTGCAATTGAAAAAGTGTGCAGGAAAGATGCTGATGCATAAGGCACAAAATCCAGACATTCCAGATACGTTATTTACTATTGAGGCATTTAAAGACACCACCTTACTGTAATGAAGTTGCCTTTAAAGAATAGGCAATGTGCATTTTTTTAATGCACATCCTCTCTATATTTTGACCAGCTGCTATGCACGTCTGATTATTTTTTTTTCTGTGAATTAGAATTAAATTTGATTGTCCCAAATACATCCCATTCAGGCATTCATGCTGAAAGCAGCAACAATTGTCAATGACCTTTAACACGCCTGCTATTCAAATTAGTGCAGATCATTAATCACACATAGCTTACATTTTATGATTCGTGTATCCTTCATTACCAACTTTCCCCTCCCGCTCGCTGCCCCCCACCCCCACCCTTTCCCTTTATTCCGAGGGAATAAGCACTGGAAAGGGCAGGATTTAAAGCCTCCCCCGCCCCAATTTTGTTTTTTTCTCATTGCCGAAGCAGTTGGCGTCCCAAGTGCAAGAAGGAGGGAGGGCGGCACGGGGCCGGTGCGCCCAGGAAGGGTCGGGCCAGGGGTGGGGGGGCAGCTCCGGCGAGGAGCTCCTAGCCAGGGTGTCCGGGGGCAGTGGTGTTCTACCGTCCCGGGGCGTCGAGGTAACACCGACCCTCCGTCAAAAGTCCTCCGTGTCATTGTTACTCATCGCACGTATACGAGACGAGAAAGAGAGACACAACAGGAAA